ACATTTCATCCATTATTCCGTCTATTTGACTCACGTTGACTCTTTTGTTAGGGTTATTTTCGTCATTCAGCGCGGATTCAATTACCAACCTCTCTCACACACTTTGCACATCGCTTTCACTTTGGTAGGGTTCGAAAGGGACTGAACTGAGGGCGCGAAAGGGGGCAAAATCGAAGGTTGGAGAGGGACGAAATTGAGGGAATCTGAAAGCTTTTTCATAAAGCTTCTTTTGGGTCCGTTGATTTAACGCAACATGACTCTGGATGTGTTGCCTCTGCAGGTGCGGAACAGAGGGCCTCCTCCCAAATACAGTAAGTAAACGTTTTTCCCAAGTTGAAATTGTTTAAGCTTGTGTGGTCCTTTGGTCCTTTGGTCCTCGGTCCTTTGGTCCTTGATCTGTCGGTGCTTTTGACATTTTGTGGTGTTGGGTGATATGCCTTTTTGAATATGAAATACATGTGGTCCCAAAGCATTTGTGTTGTTTTGTCTGCATAATAGTCGGTGGATCTGAGTCAATTTCAAGTTTAGAATGGTAGTTGAGCAATAAGGATAAGTTGGTGTGATAAAGTAGTGCTTTTATATATAATTTTTTTTTTATAGGTGATCCAGGTTTGTTCTCCCTAGAAATTCACCATGGAGGTTATATTTCAAAGGGGAAGTATGTTCGGGATAAGGTAACATGGGCAGACAACTGTAATGCTGACCACCTGTCAATGCTTGACCTGTATGATGTTGCTATATGTTTAGGATACGACCATAAAAAAATTCAGTACCACTACTGGAACAAAAGAAGGGGATTTGTTCCAATTGAAGTAGATGCCCATGTAGTTGAGTTTGTGGAGCATACACCTACCTCTAGAGTTCAACCTTTATATCTGTCATATAAGCATCAACCACATTTGTCAGAGAGCCAGGCATCTGCATCTGCATCTGCTCCACAGTTGGGGTTGGAAGTAGAAGTTGAAACTGAAACTGATGTTGGTGATTTGGGGAACCAGTTTGTAGAAGTGGATGTTGATTTAGATGATGATGGTGATGATGAGGCAGATAATGAAGGAGATAATGAGGCAGATGAATTTGAAGATGATGAGGCTGAAGATGATGATAGTGGGGAAGAGGCTGAAGATGATGATAGTGAGACAGACATTGAGTTGATTGACTCTGAGTTTGAGCAGTCAGATGAAGAAGGGTTCAAGACAGTCTTGGAAGAGGATGACAACTTGTTTGATAAACATGTAGTTGATGAAGAAAATGAAGAATACAATGAAGAACCTGGTGAGGTTGACAGTGAAGACTACAATACCGACGAACTTGTAAGTCTTGATGAAGAAGATGATGAGGATGAAGGTGTGAAAAACCGTAGCCGCAGAAGAAAAGCTCCTAGGTTTAAGCAGTTTAGGAGAGAATCTGATTTGCTGAAGCCAACATTTCATTTGGGAATGGAATTTACCAACATGGAGCAGTGTAGGGAAGCAATAAGGTATTATGCAGTTTCATGTGCAAGGCCATTGAAGTGGGTGAGGAATGATTCATATAGGGTGAGGCTAAAATGTGAAGGAGATAATAAACAAAAGGTTCCATGTCCATGGATGCTATATGCTTCTCATGTGGGGAAAAGTCCAACTACAAGGATTAAGACATATATTCCAAGGCATACATGTGGAAGGAGGCAAAGAACCAAGTATGCCACTTCATCATGGCTGTCTAAGAGGTTTGATGAGGAGTTAAGAGATAATCCCAAGATGAAAGTGACAGATTTCATGAAGATAATAAGGAAACATTATGCCATAGATGTAACTGAGGCTCAAGTTTATAAAGCCAAGAGTTTTGCAAAAGCTAGAATTCAAGGTAGTATTGAAGAACAATATGGAAAGTTGTGGGATTAT